ACGAGAAGGATATCATCAACAAAAAGCATACACCAAGGTACGTCCTCCTGTAGATGTCCAGTAAGACCATCCATAACTAAAGTAAAAAGATATGGGCTTAAAGCCGATTTCTGATGTAATCCAATAGAAATAGGAAAGTATTTGGTCAATCCTTCTTTTAGACCTCCATAATTTAAGTTTTTCCTCGGCTTTTTCTTTCATTTTATCTACGAGAAGGATATCATCAACAAAAAGCATACACCAAGGTACGTCCTCCTGTAGATGTCCAGTAAGACCATCCATAACTAAAGTAAAAAGATATGGGCTTAAAGCCGATTTCTGATGTAATCCAATAGAAATAGGAAAGTATTTGGTCAATCCTTCTTTAGTTTGAACACAAGTAACAACTTTAGTATACATATCTTTAATGATTTGAATATAAGTCATATCAACACATTTCTTCTCAAGAACTCTCCAAAGGATATCTCTTGGAACCTTATCGTAAGCTTTTTCTAAATCAATAAAAATCAAATATAGATTCTCTTTATTTTCTCTGAACTTCTCCATCAAGCCTCTCAATAAATGTATAGCTTCCATAGTAGACCCGCCCGACATAAATCCAAGTTGATTTGATAAATCCTTGTAATGCGTCTTAACATATGTTCAATTACCCTCTCCCATAATTTTAAAATACGACACATCAACTTAATTCCTCTATAGTTTGCACACTCTTGTGCATCCCCTTTATTCTTAAAAATGAGGACCAAAATACTCTTCCTCCACTCCTCAGACATCTTTTTAGTTTTTAAAATAATACTAGAGAGTTTAGTAAGCCAAGAAACTCTCAAATCTCCTAAATATTTCCACACTTCAATTGAGATATCATCAAGTCCTACAGACTTTCCACCCTTGGTTTGCTTTAAAGCTAATGCGACGGTAAAAATGAAACGCTTTATTATTATTTATGATATTAAGATCATTAAGGTCGATCGTATTTTCAGAAACTTCATTAAAAAAATTATCAAAATAACTCACCCACCTATGTTGAATATCTTTTTCTAAGAAAAGTAATTTTTTGATTTTCATCTTTAATACACTACTTAAGTTAAATTTTTATTTTTCTTCTCACTTTGTTTGGCTAGTTTATACATATGTTTTTCACCATCCTTAATATCTAATCTATTATAAAAATCATTAAAAGCAAAATTTTTAGCGTCACAGATTGTTCTTTTAGACTCCCTGCGGGCCGTTTGATATTTCTTCCAGTTTTCAAAGCTTTTACATTTAAACCAATTTTTATAACATAACTTCTTATATTTTATCTTTTCTTGCAAATTATTATTCCACTACCAACTATTTTTATTAATTAAAATTTTTTCTTTTGAATCTCCAATCACATCTTTTGCAACTTGTTTAATAGTGTTTGTTACTTTATCCCACATAACATTTGCTTCTGCATGAACATCCCAAATTTTAAAATCTTGAATTTTACTCATAAAAATAATTTTATTTGTGTCTTTTAATTTCCTTCATCTAATTCTACGATGACGAGTCCTAATATTCTTTATTTTATAGCTATTCATCTTAAAATTTAGAACTAATAAACGATGTTGAGTACTTAAATTCTCACTTGGAATCATCTTACAATCTTTACAATCTCGACGATCTCTTTTTCTCATAAAAAAATAATTAATTTGTGTTTTATTAGATTCACTCTTATAAATAATAAGATGCTCATATCTTTTCTTGAATAAATTAGTAGTAATAACAAAATCATACGCTAAAGCAAAATCTAAAATAGCTCGACCTTCTTCATTAGTTACTCCAAAACCGTAGCCACCATGAGTATTTCTGAAGTCTTCTACCACTCTACCGACATATTCATTTAAATCTCCTCCAATAAAAATTATTTCTTCAAGAGATATCATTTGTATTAAGTTTTCTAAGTCATTACAAAATTTATCTTTAGATTTGAATATATTTTTCAATATATACTTCGTTAGGATGACATTTTATAATATTAAAAATCTTAGTATCAAAGATAATCTTTAGGGCTATAATTATATCTCTAATTCTATTAATTTTTACAACATTATCTTTTAAACCCTTTTTTATAATTACATCTATACCATTTTTATTTCGCTTTCTACTTGAATACTAAAGTTTAAAACCTAAGCTATTGATCTCCTTAGCCTTCAGTCCAATCAATTTAGTTTTCATGAAGACATAAGATATTAATTTTCTTTTGAATCGTAATATCAACTAATTTTATTAATTTACCATTGAGAGTGCATATATTCTAAAGATCCTATCATAATATTAGTTACATGGACTAACATTTTTACCCGCATTCATTCGTAATGTGGGAACCCTTGCTTATTTGACACTACACCTAGGCGCCGGTTTAGCGGCCTTTGCGCACTTTTCACTGTATTCAGGCTATACAACGCGTCGCTTCCAGAGGACGCCCTAGCACTTACACAAATATCAAAAGGATTAATGTCATGAGTTTTTCCGACAAGTTTTACACTGACTGTCGATCACCTAACGCAATTCTCCACTTTTCACATTTGAGCTTGAGACCGACAATGACAATGTTAAGGCTCACACTTGATCAATGATCAAAATCCTAGAATAGATAAAATTGAAGAATATTTTCATTTATATCATGAATTTTATTCCTGCCATAGACATGTCTCTTAATCCCAATTTTATATATGACCTAACCAAATGCCAATTTTTAGCAAACTACTAAAAGTCACTAATAACTACTAACAAACTTGAAATAAAATTTTGACAAACTTAATAATATTGAATAGAATAATCCTAACAAAATAATGAATTTTAAAGGCAAGATAATGCAAATATCCACGGCTTAAATAGAAAATATGAATTTTTATCCATGTTTATTCCCTCAGTTTAGAACAATTTACTCTAGAGAATGGTAGTGATAATAAACACAAAATAAACATAACCCGTTATCTATGGCTTTTTGAGTGGTGGTTGGTTTTTTAGAAGTACTAGATTATAATGTGATTTTGATGGATCAACTCATTTGGAAGTAAGTATGAGAATCGGTGTTTTTGCCATTGTTGAAAAATAAAATGCTAAACAATGTGTTGATTAGGTTTGATTGATTAATTCAGAAGGTTGTAATAATAATCATCTTTTCGAGCAAAGCAATAATATTCATTGGGTATTAGCTTTCCAATGATACAATAAAACTTGAGGGATTTTGTAGGT